GACTACTTATAATAACATAATTATGGTGTAAGTGACAGTGAATTAACACGTTGTGATGAGAGTTTGATTTTAAATCCTAATCAAGGCAGATAGGAATGTAATACATGGATGAATTAATATTTGAGGAAGCAGATAAATTATATAAATTATATAAAAGACAGTCAGACTTTGCCTAAACCCTTTTTCAGAGCAATCATCTTAATCTTATGTGAACCATAAAATCCCATAGTTTATACATTGTTTAACCAAAATAGCAAAAATCTATCACTTAAGAAAAAACAAAAAAGAAATAAAAAACATGGACATGCTCTATAACATTCACAATAACCAGATGCACATTTATAACTGAAATTAAAAATATCTTAAGGAAACTGATGTGATGTAGTCATTTGTTAGTATATTTTCCTCCTCCAGCCATTGTCATTGCATTCTTAAACACTACGCTGGATGCTAAGCTAGGTTGCTAAGTCAGGGTGGGCGTGCATGCATGTTCATGGGTAAGCATTAATCACCAGCCTCCCTCGCCTTTCATGCACTAACGTCTGACAGCCAGAACATAAAAAGCAGCATCTTTCAGCCAATAACAGCCAATGCAGAACGCAGCAGTTGCAGCCAACCAAAGATGAGAAGATACTACCCTAAACATTTAGCCCCGGTCATTAATTAATCAGCTTGATAAGTATTTATTACTAAATAAAAGCATAAAACCATTGAGACAAATGATTATATGGTACAATTAGACTTTATCTTATAGTATAAGAAATCAATACAGTAGCCTGCAGAGGTTGATTTTTTTTTCAAGTTCCGATCTCTAATGAAGTTCTGTAAATACAGTAAAATGTTTTTATGATCACGTAATAAACTATTAAATGTCGTATATATCTTTTTCCTCTGTACATCAACATGTGAATCACCTGTCAAAGATGGCTCCAACCCCGGCGCTGTGGGCACTGTTCCTGTGGACATGAAGGCCGGTGGCCAGTAAAATGCCGTCCTTCACAGAGATGGAGCGATGGGAGAACGATGCAATCAGGAGCTCATTCCAGCCTGTTGGACGGTTACAGTCTCAGTGTTTAACAAAAAACTTTCGCCAGCAATTTAACCATATTAGGATCTGGTAGAAGTTATATTACAGGGATCCAAAACTAAGGATTTTAATAAAAAACAAAACCCAACTTATTCATTCAGGTTATGAGAAGAAAAAAGTAGTTCTACAATAATCTAAATTAAACTAGCTAATACTGGAAATAAAAAAAGTAAACCCTTGAAATAAAATGGAAACCGTATAAACCTTTCCAGCAAAGCAGAGGACTGCCTAATCCTACAAACCAATGATACAGAACCAGGAAACCCTTCATGGGGTTCAGGCTATAGTTTACATTTTTTAAAACACAAAGTGGTGACTTTAAGAAATTTGTTTCAAAGACAAAATAAATGGTGTAGTGAGATGATAACAGAGGAGCTCCCTCTATGTAGATCCTGGATAAACTGGAGGAGGTTTATTCTATACTTTCTAGTGACTTTCTGTGTTTGAAAGGGTTTATTGTTGAACCATCTCTAAAGCTCAACTTGTTAAACTCATTTTAAAATGGTTATGAGATCTAATGCTAGACTGAATTTGAAGGATTTATGCTTTTATATGATACCAGAACAAGTAAAGATCTCTGTGACTGTCAGGATGGTACAATAAAAACATCTAGGTAACAAATAAAGATGGAAGTTTAAGCTATAAATGATAAAATGCACATGATACAAAGTTATAGGATTGTAGTATCAGAAACGCAGATAGAAGCAGCGACAAACCTGCACGGAGCAGGATGACCTGATCATCCAGAGGAAGCTCAGAGAAGTGAGGGATCCTCTTAGCCCATTCCACCAGAGTGAAGAGCTGCTTGTCTGCTGCCTGACAGATGTTGGTAACCGGATCATTGGGCTGCAATGTGTAGAAACAGAGCATTAGGAGGGGTTCATGTTTTTACCATAGAATCAGCTTATCAATATATAGATAAAAAGAAAAAAATCATAATATTTTAATATCTGAATAATTAAAAAATCATTCCGATTAACTGCTAGAGACTCACAGAGCTGCCGCCTGAACTTCCATCTGCATGAAGCTCCGTTTTCTGCTCCACAGCCATCTCTGCCTCCAGAATCTTCTCCACCGGCATCTCCTCATTCACCGCGCTGGTAGACTCCACCTCGCCTTCGCGCTCCTTGTTCCTCTGCCGCTCCTCCTGGACAGCTGCAGAACCAGGCAACGGAGCAGGAAAGGAGAAGGACAGGATAAACATTGGTGGAGAAAAAAGGGGGAAAGAGTGATGAAAAAGAATCCGGTATGATAATAATTGATGCAAAAGGAAAAATATTTGAACACATTTAAAAAAAAAAAAAAGGGGTGCGTTCAAAGCAACAGATGAAGATAAACGAAACATTAAAGGTGGAAAATGTGAAAGAAATTAAGGGAAGAAAGGAGGGTCGATCAGAAATAGAAAATGTTTAAGCACAGAGAGAGAAGTACATAAATAATGCAGAAGATAACAACATGAATGAAATATGAAGAAGTCATGAGTTTATATTTCCAAACGACAATAATGAGCTGGATTCTAGATCTAAATGAGAAAGTGACCTGAAATCTGAGCTCTTCAGACTAAAATAAAAAAAACGGTCATTCTTTAAATGTTCTCAGAGCGAGATTTCGTTCACAAATTCACCAAATCATGACGAATCTGAGGTGGCCTGATGAGGGAGTTTCCCAAGCACAACTTATTTGGCTGTAATAAAACACTTGGAAATGAATCTTCCTGCTCTCCACCCAAACTGAAGCTCAGGCTTTGAAACCCTTCCTGTTGCTACACAGAAGATATTTTCAGTTTTCCCTGCCATGTATTTTAACCTTTAGATTTCTGTTTACTTTTTATAACCAGGTAGGTTAGTTTAAAAGGAATTTTTATTCACAATGATAACCTCAACCAAAGGCAGAACACAGTGTAGACCTTATCTGCATGTTTTTGTCCCAAAGCAAGAGCAGCTTTAACCAAATATGGAAGCAGTTATTAAAGCTTAGTGGGCTGGGCGTTATGGCCAAAAAGTTATGATAAGCTTTTCATATTATTTAGTATCGATAATTATTGATTTGATTTTTAACTTTTTAAAATAAGGACAAGCAGAAAAAAAATCCTAATTTAAATTGTGATCCTTTAAAGGTTACTTTAATCCTTAAACACCTCAGCCTTTCCACCATCTTTGCTTATTTTGTCCATGAGACGTTGAAGAGCAAAATATTTTCCTCTGCCTACAGCCCCCACAATACTGTGCTGTTCTGAATCAGAGTTCTCTAATATTACAAATGGTTCTATTAGATACGTTTTCTTTTGAAATAATCAGGTGTCTACTGAGATACATTTTAGTATTGTTTGATTTTCCCACTCTATAATGTAATGTATGCATTTTTCTGTCATAATTTTTAAACTCTATGGACACACAAGTGTTTAGATTTTTGCAAATTAAAGTTTCACCTGGACTTCTGATAATTTAATGCTTTTATTTTAACTTAAAAACAGTTCGTTAGGCATTAAAGCCCTTTGCCAACCACCACCATCAGATTAGCTAACTTTTTATTTGTTGTTGCTTTAATGTAATCAAACTCTTTTTACTCAGGCAAGTGCTTTAATAACAGTTTAATTCATTAATGTGCAGTGACCCGCTAATGAGCAGGAGATGTGAAAATGTGGAACTAAGCCACAAAGATAGTTAAAAAGAATTTAATAAAAATGTGTGCATGAAATTAAGCATCCATAATTCTAGATCCGTGAATAATAAAGACTCGGATCCGTGAATAATAAAGACTGAGGTTGGTGGCTATAAATCTCCTATTTCAGGGATGTACGGTTGGCTTTTTCACCAGGAGCACTAGTGCTCCCAAATGAACAAATATAAGAGCACAGAAAAAAATTAGGGGCACTATGAACTTTCCTACATTGAACCTTTTTTTTTTTTTTTTAAATAGACCCAGGTAATAATTACTATTTTATGAAGCTCTCATTTTTCAAATGGGGGTTTTCAGTAACAAATGCAGAGAAATCTGCCTGTTTCTACCCTCTATAATATAGGTTGTCCTCAAACTCAAGCCAAACGACGAGTTTGATCCACTCCTTTTTAAACTTGTAAAAATGGTTAGCATTGTTGCTAAAAATCATCAAAACACTAATTTCTGAAGAAATGCCCTGTTTGCTGACATTTCCAATTAGAAATGAAAATAAAGAGCCCTTAACTTTAAGAAAATAATACTGTATGAAGGTTTTAACTTTGCCATATGGCATTTATTGCACTTATTTTTCTCTAAGAGCAGTCACAACAATGATGCCTTATTAATGAGTGTCTTCTAAGATTTGTGTTTTCCTCTGACAAATAATATGCATATCAGAATAAATGATGTTAAAAAAGATAATGTTTAGACTTCATAGGTCCATGCCTCATGCTGACAGTGTTACACCTCAGTCAGCTAGAGGTGAACTGCTGCTCAAGGATAGACCTTCACAAATCAGTTTGTCACTTCCAGCCTTAATTAATTCTGAGGTCTTCGAAGGACCCAGCCTTTGTGGCAGTTTTCACCAGGATGTTTTATGAGCGCAGCAGAGCGGGTAATGAAGTAATCACATAGAATGTGATTACAAATTCTCCAAATAAATGTTAAGCTCAAGATTAACTTTATTTTACAAATTCTAGTGTTCCTGAACTGAAACTAAATCAATTTTATGTTATCAAATTGAGACAGTAGTTACATAGTGGCTGAGGTATGAATTATTTGCAGGGAGGATCTATTTAGTGCAACGGGTTCAAAGGAAGAGGGAGAAACGGGTTGCAGCTCCAGTTTGTTGGAGGAGGGATGGGCTTGCTCACTCATTACATGCTGAGGTCACCAAACTCAGAGCTATCGGTCACTAAGGTCTTCAAGAAGAGAGGAAGTAGTCGCTAGATGATGTTACTAGTCGTAAAAAAATAAATAAAAAAAAAGTCTGAAATCTGCTAAATATAGCGACAATATGAGTTTGCAACGAGTTCACCTGCCTCAGTTACCTGATGGCAGTCTGACACGGGGTTCATGTTTTCACAACACTTCTCTTATATTTATTTACCATTAAGGAGGAAAAAGTGTTTTAAGACACCGTTATAAAGTGTTGGCACTCATCAAACGTCAGAGTGTCCACAGATTTCCATTGTAGTTTAAAAGGTTTACATATAACCAACATCAAGGAGGGATCTTGTTTTGTTCTTCCCCAAAGCCTGCTCTCTGCTGTCGGGGCTGCAGCGCGTTCGCCTGCCGGTCAGCTGATTGGAGACTTAACGGCACTGGGTTCACGTTTTCACCACGCTTCTCCAATGTTTGTGTGTGAATAAGGAGGTAAATGTGTGCACACTGTTTTGCCGCATTAGTGGTCGCTGCTGGAAATTTGTAAGGCAGCATTGACGTCTCATAACCGCTATATCAAAACAAACAGATATCTTACCTAATCTAGCCTGAATTATTTTAGAAGTATAATGTGAATAAACGGTGAGAAATCTGTTCTCGCAAGTCTGCGCCTATTTGTGTTTCCAACTTGCACAAATCTATTTTCAGGCGCAAATGCGGTTAAAACTTTCACAACATAATTAAGATAAAATAGCTTATCAAAGACTAGGGCTATTTTTCTAACTGCCCATTCTTACAGGATAGAAACAGCTGAGGAAGTGAGTGAGGGTTTCCTCTGCTCTGCCTCAGGATTTAAAATGAGGAAATCGTTTTAAATGAGCTCCTCCTAAGTGACAGCAAATGTAACATGTCTCTATGCAGCGATGGCTCATACAGACAGCCACACCCCCCTCCCTCTCTTCTCCTTACATCTGTTGTTCATCTTGGCCACTACAGGAGGGAGGGGGGGAGAGAACGAGAGGAAACAAAAAGAGGAAGAGAGAGGGCAAGGGGTTAGTGTTTACAAGACTCATCCACCCCACATCCCTCTCTATAACTCTTCTCTCGTTCTTTCCATCCTCACTCCCCCCGATTATCAACTACTTCTGTACGTAACACCGCCTCAGCAGAGTCAACGTTCAGTTTAGCTCCGACCGAAGAGCACATCAACTTCCAGATTATGCAACAGATCTTCTTCTACACTACCAGATTATTCTGTAATCTGTGAGAACTCAGAGGAGCTCTGTACTCACAGACCAATCAGTGTTTATCACACGGCGACCTCAGATTACACCAGGCTGGTCAATAATTACTCAGATGATGTGACAGGGAGGATAATTGAAGCAAAAACCAGCTGATCCCCTAAACACGGTCTGTAGGCTTTAAAAAGCGCAGAACAAATTTAGATTTTGAAACATTTAATGAAATTAAAGCTATTTTTTCTTGTTTGATTTCATGATAGTAGGTGTGGTTATGGAGTTCAATATTAGATTAGATTATTGAGGTTTTAACAAATGTATAAATTAACTACATTTTATAAACAAAAACTGCAAAAATTAGAGGATGAAACTGAACTTATGAAGTGTTTGATGCTTTATAACCAGAAAAACAGCTTCTGATTCTCTAAGGAAAAAAAATATTTGTTTCTTTATCTTAAAATCTTGGCTTACAGTAGATATGAAAACTTTTCAGTTTTATTTAACATCAAAATAGGACAGAATATATTTTTGTTATGAAAGGCTTCTGGGTGGAGGTTTTGTTCTACTACTGCTCTGTAAGTCACAGCAAACAAACCAAAAAGGATCTGACAGAACGCCCCAGCCCCACTGTGTTTAACCCCCCCTCCCCCATTCCTTTTTAAATCTTGAAACTTTCTGTGAATTGAATAAAAGATTCTGCCTCTTTCTGATGCCTCCTCACCTTCTCTCTTCATGCCCATGGCGAGGCATTTCTGGTAGCGGCAGTACTGGCAGCGGTTCCTCTGCCTCTTATCCACCGTGCAGTCTTTATTGTCCCGGCAGGTGTAGGTCAGGTCTTTTCGCACCGTTCTCTTGAAGAAGCCTTTGCAGCCCTCACAGCTGTAGACGCCGTAGTGCTTCCCTAAAAAGCAAAACATTGTAAAGACAGCAGAAGTCAGTAGAAACAATGCACATGTCCTTAGACGTTTTAGACAGGCTGCATTTAAAAATGCTGAACTGAGGTGGTTTACCGACCAGAGGATCTATCTCCGCAGATGGAACAAAGGCGTTTCTGGGAAAGCATGGGGCCTGGGCTGTGGGAAGAGAGCTGCTTCAAGCCAAGAGGAGGTTTCACATCATCGGAGCTGCTCACTGCATGGAGCCCTGACATGGTCACTGTTGAGTTGATCTGAAACAACAACCACAAAAAAAAAAAATAATTGTAAATCCAGAATCAACAGCTTAAACAAAGAAACATCAGACCCTTCAACCAAAATAACAATGGTAGCTAAAGGTCAAGCAGTTAAACGACCAGATACTGAGTAAAGTTTAGTTCATCATTTACTGATAAAGGTTCTACTCTAACAAAATGGACAATAAACAAAAAGAAAATGTTTAAAATTAAAATTTACATTTTGTTTAACAGCAGATTTAGGGGAAAATAGTGCAGTTTGTAATAATCTACAGGATGTAAATTCAGCACTCAAAGATACAGAAATATTATTTTCAAATTTCTAGGGCAAAGTATTCTGAGGAGTCTTCAACCAAACATTTTAATTTTCTAATGTATTTCCAAGATGTTAGAATCTGATGCTCACCTGGGGGCTGCTAATCGGGCCGTATCCCACAGACGGTGTGCCGGGGAGGCAGGGCGAGTCCAGTGATGAGCTAATAACAGAAAAAGGCGAGCCAATGCTGCTGATGGGGCTGTTGACCCCGGTGGTGGTGATGGGTGGCAGTGAAGTCATGGAAGCTGCTGAGGGAACCAGCGGTGGGGAGCGCTGGCCCGACGGAGGGGAAGACATGGACGAGCTGTCCGGACTGCGAGAATCTGGCAGGAAGCAAGCAGAGAGAAAGAGAGGATGTCGGAAAAAGACTGTAACATGTCTGCAGCAGCAACTTTAGGTTTTCTTTAAATATGAGAATGTGGGGAGTTTTCCCTCTATGTTAAGAGTTTGACATTTTTATAATGTGAAAAATACTTTCTTACCAAAACAATAACTGAAGCTATGTGGATATTTTGTTTTGTTTATTGAATTTGGATTTAATAAGCTCTTCCATAAAACATTGACCAACAATTTCAGGTTTTACTGTTTTAGAAAAACAAAAGTTTTGACGACAAATAAAACCCAAAAGTGTTCTGTTATGAAACAACTATGCATTTATTAAAGATAAACTACATAGCAGTTAATGGAAAGCGTTGGTGACCAGGCGGATTGGAGTGGACAAAAAAAATCTACATAAAACCATGTATTTTATTTCAATAATCCGGATTTACTTTGGTTTATTTCATTGTGCAAAGGTCAGGTGGACTTTGAAGGGTCAGCTCTTTTACTGCCAGTCCATTTTTATCTGTATAGCACAGTTGATTAAAGTGCAACACAACAAGTAACAAACAAGATAAAGATAACAAGAATTTAAAAAATTATAAAACATTACAAATGCACAGTAAAATTAGTCTAAATTGTATTTTTATTGTCAAACTCACAATGTGCTAAAAGTTAAAGAATAAAAGTGTTTGTAAAGATTTAAAAACCTTATCTGTGTTAAAGTAAGCAGAGATGGGATGTAATTAACAAGAATATTTTGAAATCCATGCTTTGATCTTTAATTTCCTTGTTTTAGGTCAGTTTTATGGAAACAAACCCTGAAAGACTTGACTGTGATAAATGAGCCGTGTTGTTATGGTCACTCTGAAAATTTGGCACCCTCATCTACTGCTGTCTGGGCTTTCTCAGCTTTATGTTGCTTTTTGCCTGATCTCTTTATTTTCTTTTGAAAATAAAGATCAGCTGAAAACTCATGATACTGAAGGAACTGATATACAAGCAAAACTATGTAATGTTTTAAGAAAGATAAATAAATCCCAAAAACTCAGTACTGTACTGTACTGTAACATTCTGTCATTTTATTCTCAGAATACAAACAAACATTCACAGCGATGTGTGCCGATGTAAGTTTAAAAAAGCACCAATTTTAAACTGTCCATAACTTTAGTTAAAAAGAAGTGTTCAAAAATAGAGTAAGGTGTTGAAAAAAAATCAGTAAACTTCATCAAAAACTGGGGAGCGTTGGCCTAGTGGTTAGAGCAGTGTGTTTGTGCTCTAAAAAGGTTGCAAGTAGCCGGTTTGATCCCCGCAGCCTGCACTCTGGGTCCCTGAGCAAGACCCTTAACCCCTGATTGCTCCCCTGGCGCCGCACAATGGCAGCCCACTGCTCCCCAAAAGGATAGATTTAATGCAGAGAGTGAATTTCTCCAATGTGAGATCAACAAAGTTAAAATATGATTAATTATAAATTATTTAAAAAGATTTTGGAATGCTTTGTGACATTAAAATATGATGTCTAGGCTACTAAAATAACCTGATGAATCAGAGACAATTTTCACAACTAAAATTAAAACATGTTAAAACCCCCTTTTGCTATTTATGGGGTGATAATTGGCAGATGTACAACAACAGGTGTTAGCAGTGTTTCCATTTTTTACTTAATGCTGTTTTTTTAGGTGTAAAAGTTTAGTTAGAATTAACATAAAACCATTAAACCATTTAACTGCCAGTATAAATATAGCGTCATGTAAACAGACCATTAGAGGTAAATAGATGTGTGCCGCTTTAAGGCTCACCTCTGCTGTCTCCCATGATGGTGGCTGGTTGGCAGCGATCAGCCGCGGTGCCTTCCTCTTTAACAGCCCGCTATCAAACTCGAGACCGCGGACTGAGGCCCGGGCCGGAGTTGGTTTGGGAAACCAAAAACGGGTCTGAGATTCCAACACAAGGGAGAGCCCACAAAAAAAAAAAAAGAAAAAGAAAAAAAAGGAAAGAAAAATTACCGTGTGTTGAACTTTTATTAAAACAAACAAGAACCAAACATCAGTTTCAAACATTTATCGCCCTTTAACCGCTAATATTAAAACGCATACGTGTAAATTCTTTTTTTTTTTTTTTTTTGGCATTTAGTGTAACGTTACAGTTAGATTTGAAAGCCAGCCAGCAGCCCAGCTGATGCCAAGAACGTCTTGTCCAGATATATTACAAAGCTATAACGAATTAATATTAAGCTAACAACGTGTTAGTGATTTAACTCGATGCGTTTATCGCATCGATTATAACATCAAACAGCAGCATAAACACAGACGGAGTCCTGACAGATGGCAACAAACCACCGCTGCTATGAGGCAGCCAATGCTAGCATTAAAGGCTCGTGAACTAGCCAAGCTAACGTTACTGGAAAACTTAAAATGCCCGACTCTCCACAATATATAAGTTTATTTAGTTATGTTTTAATATTAAATCATACTCACGACACTCAATGCACGATATAAAGGACGTTGATATTCATTGTCACGTTTATAAAACATAAATGAGTGTCTGGTTGAAGTTGGCAAGGTAAGCTAGCTATATTTAGCCACCTAGCCCAGCAAGCTAACTGGAGCTAAAGTGGAGCAGAGGAGAACTGGACGGGCCAGAAGAAAACAGATTATCACAGCCCGTTCCGCCTGTTTTAATCCCTCCCCTATTCTAGCTGAAATAAACAAGTTTATATCTAAAAAAATATATTAAAAAAAAGATTACTGACGGTTTAACGGCGCAGCTTCTTCTCATGAAAAGATGTGGCGACTAGGCCCGGTGCCTCTCTATCTCTCCCCCCACTTCGCCTCGCAGTCAGCCCTCCCTCCCTTCCTACCCTTCCTCCCCCTGCGCCGATGAAAACATGATGATGATGGTGGAGGATTTGGCTTAGAGCTCCTGTACAGTTGAACATTGGCCCCCCGAAAAGTCACTGCAACAACAACAGAGCAGCGTGGCTCCTGAGGGGCTGTGTGGCCATGATGCGCCTCACATGTCTGACAGGGAGACGCATCCAGAGCAGGTCAGGAGGTCAAGACAAGTTCAGCTTTGCATTTCAGTCGCTCCAAAGGTTATTGTCGGACAAGGCTTGAGGTAATGGGTGTATTAGGTGTGTGTACTCTTATGCAACATTTTCAGTTTTACAGCACCATTAAACTCAGAATCACTGCTGAGATAAACACATACTCCACCTGAATTACTCCCTCCTTACTGCTTTTGTTTTGATTCTTATATACATTTAAATATTTTATATGTCAGATTTATTTATTATTTTTTTTTATCAAATATTGATTCGACCAAAGCTGATCAAAAAGCATAATTTGAAAGGCTCTTAGATTATTGTTTTGACTTACCTGTTTTAGCACCAATAACCACCCTCATACCTGCATTCTTCTTTTAAGTGACATGTTTTTGTTTTTATAAGGGTTGCAGTTATACTGTTTTGACCACTTTCTAACACTTGATATTTTCAAGCTTAATGCCGAAAAAATACCTTGACTTTCTTTAAAAAAATGTTTTCCAAAAGCTGCAACATGATTTGACGATTTGTTACTTAGACTTAGACAGATTTATTTTGTCCTTTTGTATACACAAGTGTAAACAAAAAGAAATTTTTATAACTCTCTAGACAATTTCCTTTTTTTAAAGTACAGCCTTGAAAACAGTAAAAAAAAAAATACATAAAGACAGTAATATAAACATATGACTGTATATTTATTTACAGTTCTAACATTTCAGCTTTTTTTTCTTTCAATTTAATAAATATAAATATACATAATTCAGCTTTAGTCATTGTAATTTTGATTATTTAGAAAATGGAATTCAATATTAAGAGACTTTATGTAGGTTATTTCATTTTTAAATTAATATTTTTTAAAAAAAATATACAAAACATTGGTTAAGACTAAGATTGTGAATTCATTAAAGTTGGGTTAGGATACAAAAATACATATTTTGGTCAGAATGAATAGTATGATTTAATCATGTCACTGTCAGATTTTTTCTTTATTTCAAGTATTGCTTGAACTCACAAAATGACTTAATATTTTAAACAGTTATTGCTGTAGCATTATTATCAATTATATGAGCTACATTTTAATTTTAGTTTTTCCCCCTTATAACACATATGTTATACACATCCAAAAACTATTCAGTTTTTGGATGTGTTCTGTTCATAAACATTTGTTCTTTGGCAGGATCTCTCCACTTCTTGTTGATATTAATTGGTAGTTCAAAGATTTAAAGACACAAGCGCCCCCCAGGGGACTATTGTTGTATTGCAATTACATACATTAGATTGATTCTTGGTACCAAAGAAAACTAATAGAAAGTTTAAAAAAAGTCAAACTTTCAAAAACCTTTTTTTTAAATTTGCATTTTATTAATTAAAATTGCCTGTGTTCTGACTATGAAAATAGTAGAATTACTATTTACTACATTTCTAGAATAAATATGGAAGAACATTGTTAGAATATAAAGGATTACATAACAAAGTATTTCAAGAACACAAAACAAATTATGTAATAATACTAAATTAAATTAATTAAATGTCTTCCCTAGAAATAACAGCATATTATCAGATAAGCAAAATAAGTCCTTAAAAAAGGTTAAATTACATTTATATTTAATATTGTTCTCAGCTGCTTTATAAGGAATAAACAGAGTGTGAATAAAAAAGGAGACTGTGGTTATTACTCATTATTATCTCTTATTTTTCCCCATGAATTCAATTAAGACTTAAGATATTTGTGTTTTCTTTTCAGTCCACAGAGAAAGAAAGACATTAAAAAAGCAGAACAGATTTAATGATATCACATTTTTTTTATTGCTTACATTTAGAAAACATGTTAACAAAACTACAAAGGCATCAGAATTAAACACATCATATGAAATAAGTTGTCATGGGAAATAAAAGGAACTGAAGTTTAAATATAAGGAATAAAGAAAGTTTTATCTTAATCTTTCACAGCATTGATATATGTTGTAGACATTAAACCACTTTACACCCCTGTTATCTTGATTTTAACAGATGATGATGTTTCAGCATCTTTGCCAGTTTAAAAGGATTACTTTTGTTTTGTTTTGTTGGAAACAGTTTTTTGCTGTCTAAAGTTTGCAAACCTCTTGATGCTCCTCTGGATTGTTTTTGTCTCTCTGTGGTTTAATTTGCATTAAATTCTTCCTGCAACAAATAAACCCTTAATATTTGTGATTAGTAATCAGACAGAAGCAATCAGTTGTTCCTCTACCTTCTGACCTGAAATCCTCCTGCTGTCACTAAGTTTCAGCTTAATTTAAAAAACCTAAACCCAAACCTGATCGTTTCAGGGATATCCAACAGGGACACTAATTAATGCTGAAGATGTCACTATCTAAATATGTGCTCCTCTCCCGTGTGTGTCAGTGCCGCTTTAGGGATTAGCCTCAGTGTGTGTCCACTAGTGATTAGCCTGGTCAGTGGGCCTGTTGTGCATTCACTCAAGACATTAGCATATTAATGCAGCCTCGCTCTTGATCCCCCCCTCTGCCCTCCAACTAGGCCGCTCTGTCCCTCTCTTGCATTTTCTCTTTCTCTATACATATTTCCCAGCCTGCAAAGATGCTTCCTGCAGGTTCAATCTATAAATCTGACCAATTTACGCTCCTCTTGCTGTGAAGCTGCACACAGTCTGGCCACACAAACTTCAAGCTTCCCGGTCCTCCATTTCCCTCCAAAAATCCTCCCTCCTTCTACACCACATTCAAATCCTCCACTTGCTCTCATTTTCCCTTTTCTTTCCTCAGATACCCCCCATCGCCCCCTCCTCCCGAACTTTGTCAAACACAGGAAAACACACAGAAGCAAATTCACAGAGGGTGAGCATACCCACCCACCCACTCACACCCACAATCCCCCAATCCCCATTCACTCTCCTTTTCTGTTACTTCACCCTTTCCAGTGCAAATTCAGCCAGACCTGCTGTAGACTTCAGTGTTGAAGTGTAGACCGGAAACCTTCAACCATTCAGCTATTTAATTGCACCTTAGACAGACTTTAACCTTCTTTCCAAAATGGGGACGCTCTTCATCTGCAGAGTAAAATGTGTAGAAATAATTAGACCTTGCTCCTATATGAAGGAAACAATTAAAATGAGCAGAAATTCAATTAAAATGAACTAATTTCCACTCTTTACTTGTGCAAGCTGGAGAATTTCTACATTAAAAATGGAAAAACTTATAACAGAAATATCATTTTGTGGAACCATGAGTCGGAAATAGATCAGAAGGTGTTATTTAGGTTGCCTTGTGATTTAGCAAATGAGGTGACTTCCTATTTACTTCCTGCTGCTGTTGCCAGGAAGAAAATATTAACTTTTCTCAACACTTTCACCCAAATATGCCGGAATCTATCAAGGTTGAATAAAAAGTACCTAAAAAAAGCATTTAAAAAACCAGTAAATCCTAAAACTGCTTTAGTCTTATCAATAAGACTGTTGGACTGTCTTGCAAAAATTGAGGTGAGTTTCTTGGAGGCTTCAGATTTGCCTAAACTCACACTCTGCCTGGTTCAATAGCCTTCTGTTTGTCTTTCTGTGTCTCAGTCTTCCACCCACAGAGACACAGACTGATCCCATCCATGGTGGTCTGTCCCTCGCAGATGTTTAGAGGTCAGGGGCGTGATGTCCATCCACAACTCCTGGTTTCACAAAGGCAGACGCAAGAATTGCGTTTGGACAATCAACTCCAGACCTCCGTGTCTCTTTCTAGTCATTAGTGGCTCACATTCTTGGAGAGGCAGATGCATCCTCTGGTTGTGCGGCAGTTGATGTGGAGCTGATTTACTGATTCAAGTTTCAAGCCACCAAAGCCTGTGAAGGGATCCAAACTATCAGTTCCTCCACTCGCTGAGAGAAAGGTTCAAGGCAGTGTTTGTCGGCAGCCTTCAGGTCAGTGCGTGTGGATGAAAGGAAATAAAGACCTAAGGAAAAAGAATGAGGAATAAGCCTATGAAAGAGAAAGGGGAAAAGCGCTAACTCATGGTTGTATTCTGCGCCGGTGACACCATGATAAACGAAGGGGTCACCACCCGGGGGTGGGCCCATCCTAAAGGAGCCTCTGACCTTGTACAAAAGAAGGAGTGGGTCCCCCAACGGTCACATGGATCAAAGAAGACAAAAGCCTGAGATGATAACTCAGCACAGCACCTGATTATCAAGCACGTAACCAAGAGCAGTGAAACATTTCCCCAAGTTAGAGTGGGAGAATTAAAAGTTGAGGCTGTGACTCGCTCTAATCTGATTCGCCGAACCCAACATTTGCTCTCCATCTGATTCGCTCTGTTAGGCGTTCTCTCTTTCTGTGGGACTCTGTCTTTATCCAAATGATGCAGTCTTTGGTGAGGCCTGGCCTATTCATCTGAACCCCATGTGCCGGTTGCCCACCATTGAGGTGCAGAGTAGCATGGTCACAAAGGATGGCAGCGATTCAGGGAGCCTGCTCCTTAAAGTCTTAAGCCTGCGTTCAGAATGAAGTCAGCAGATAAACACTAATGGTAAAAAATCTTTCATTTAGTTCAAGAATTTAAATCCTGCAGTAAGCGGATAGGATATTTTTGGTATTAAAAAAAAAAGAGTTTTCTTTTGCTTATTGGGTAAATGAGTCCATAAGGCCCAATGGCTCAAAGTTTTTACCAGTAGCAGAAGCCTTTCACTAAATCCCATCCTTAACCTATGCACCAGCAGAAAAGATTAGTTTTCTTTTCTAAACATTTCATATATTAAAAAACCCTACAAAACTCTTTACTCCATTTTCCTGACAAGTTCTAATCATGCCTGAATTAAAAATCCTAAACTTTTCTTCCTCACATTGTCTCCAGGTATGAATCCTCCTCGGCGCCCTGTTTAAAAGTGACCAGAAAGATGGATTACCTAAAGGAAAGGAGGCCTGTAGTGCCAGGTATTGAGACCCTTTGGGACCTGAAATCTGGATCAAGAAATTCTGCAAAAAGCCCGCCATAAAGTCCCTCTCAACCAGCGCTCATTCATCCTTACATATGCGACCGACATCCTCTCCTCCGTTCCATCCTCCCTCCATTCTGGGTCGAGTATTAGCCGCATCGCTGTCGACGTCTGAACGCACTTGTCCTACTTCTCCATCTTTCACTCAGTCTGCTGTTGCCTCTTCTGATCCTGCATCCTTCTCTCTCTCCTTCTTCAACCCTTTCTGTCCGGCCCACCCTCCGCCTTTACATTTCCTCCTGGTTTCCCCGCCCTCTTTCTCCTCTCTCTCCCTCTCCTTTCACTTATTCCTTGTCTCTCGCTCTCTCTCTACCCTCATTTCATGCAGCGCTGGGGTTACCTAAGAGACTGGGCCTCAATGGAGAAAATCTCCTTTGGTACAATGAGTTGGGCGAGAGGCAGAGGGGAGGGAGAGGAATGGGGGGGCAGGGTAAAATCGGGGGGTGCTGGACACAGGAAGGGAGGTGGGGAAAGTAGAGGGAAAAGATAGTGGGATGCAGATGCTTGCACTGATGGAAGGGGGATAGGAAAAATTGAATAATTGGCTTTGCTTGTGATTTGCCTCAGTGGTCAGTCTTTTGATGGTTACTTATAGTCCCCCCCTCACAATGGGGAGTCAGTGGCTCCCACTAATTAAGAATGAACCCATTTGATGAATTCAGTAAAACTTTGAAGAAAATATAATCATTAGGAAACAAAAATGTCATCTTGATACATTGCTGGGATGTTGTCAGATTGGGTCATAGTTCTGTTCGCATGAGAGAAGCGACATCTGTGCTGTTTAGTTTGTTTAACGTTTGTTTGTTCTATTGGCTAGAAGTCCAAGATGGCACCCAAAGGAGTATAGTTCTTTTTTTACGATGAGCAAAAGTAATTTAACTGCATGAACCTCCGTCATTTAGGACAAGTAATTACACAACACCTCTTTAATCTTTTCCCCGACTTGGCTTAGAAGATTGGAAGATGTTGTCCTAAAAAAGAAAAAAAAAGAAAGAAATGGAGGGCTGACACGCTCAGTCTTGTTTGGAGGTTAGTTACAGATTAGCGCAGAAGTGTTGCAGTTCATTTTCTTGCTGCACCTTATTGAGCTCCTCAGCTATTCTATTAACTTCCTCATTTGTCTCTGAGTTGGCAAACAGATCCCCTGCTGCTCAGTTTTGTCTCTTTACAACTCATCTCCCCTTCACAAGCCCCTCATCACACTGGAGGATGTAAGAAAACAATGAGGCCAATAAAAGAAGCAGGGAGATAATTAAAGCACAGCTAAGACGTTGGCCTGCGCCCTAAACCATCAAAACCAGGGATGTGAATCTGGATATGGGGGTGACGGCGGGGCTCCTTTAGAAGAAATGAAACTTTTCCTTATTTTCCATGTAGGTCCGTGTAAATGCCGGGATGAATCTAGGACCTCAGTGTTAATGACTCTATCAGGGCCTGAAATCCAGAGGCTCCTGCTGAGGGAAGAGATCCAAAGGGATCAGGGTGTTTTGAGTGTGGAGCAGGAGGTGTCAAAGCTGGGGCTCTCCGAGTGTGTGTTTAAAACTGGGGGCCGAAGGAGGGGGGGACGGAGAGGGCAGATTGTCCGCGGTTCTCTCCCTTCTGCTGAATGAAGTTATTTCCAGGCCCCTGTCCATCTGTTACCGTGGCAGCAGCGGTGACCAAGGTGTTGCCATGGTGAGGTGGACACAAAAAGGTGTGGCGTGGGAACGGGTCCAGGGGTCAGGAGTGAGGGTCAGGAGGGTCAGGGGGGTCACAGCCAGCTGGACAACACACAAGAGGAGACGGGGTGAGAAAAGAAGGAGGGAAAGTTCCTTTTTTTCTCCTTTTCTTCTCCTGGTTTTTCTGCTCTGGAGGGAGACGTTAGAAGAGTGGACACCACTGGACATTAACATTGAACTGGGGCGGTGAGATGAAAAAGAGGGGGGGTGGCGTGGAAGAAGGTCCCTGGGTTCCACAGAGACGGGCCCCCATAATGTCCAGCCTCTGCAAGTAGGGGGGCTTCTCCTACCTTACTGATGTCTAATCGCCCAAAGCATTTGACAGGCAATTGACTCTGGTCAATGTACGTCCAAATGTGACAACTGAGAAGATGTGGAGGGCTGTGGGTGCCTGTCTGTGTGGTCATAGTGTGTCCAATACCCAAACCGAACAAAGCCTTTTGGACAACATTTCAGTTTGGTCATTTTATGCTCTAAAACTTTCTTAGACAATGGGTCAAACTGAAGGGGTAATGAACCAAAATCATTTGCTGAAGGTGGGAAAGAGGCACCATCATGGACAAAGTCTCTAAAACTTTCATAAAACAGTTAAAAAGTTGAATCTTGGCCTTTTTTTTTTTTTAAAAAAAAAAAAAAAAAAAAAAAATATATATATATATATATATATATATATCACAATTTGTTATATCACAGTAATTTGGAGGCTTCATGGGTTCAGTACAGAAAAGTGTTGATAATGTCTTATAGGAATTTTTTAGCAAATAACTTTATCTGCTCTTTTTTTATATGTAGCAAAAACTGTGATTGATTTCAAAAACAACAATGGAGGCAGAAGTTTGATTTCCATAAGGATTATTTCTAGTCCACACAGGTTTAGATATACAAACATACATGATAAAATACCCCATATTTACTCGTAAACTTATCTAACAGTATAAAATCCCCAGTGGCCCAGTTTGTAGAACCGTTGCCTTGCAGCAAGAAAGTCCTGGTTCGAACCCCAGCCTAGAATCTTTCTGCATGCATGAAGTTTGCATGTTCTTTATGTGGATGTGTGAGCCCTTTCTCTCTGGATACATTGGTTTCCTCCCACAGTCCAAAAACATGACTGTCAGGTTGACTGGCAATTCTAAATTGCTGTTAGGTGTTTGTGTGTGAATGGTTCTATATTTCTGTCCTGCAATGAACTGGACACCTGTCTAGAGTGTCCTGTCTCTTCTACCATAGACTGCTGGAGATAGATCCAGCCCCCCTAATCCAACAGACAAGTGATAGCAGATGGATAGTTATATCTAAACACATTTTTTTTTTACCATCAACAAAGTCCTGGTATAATTTCGGCTGGATATTTAGTTATTCTCATTAGAAATGGAAATGTGCATTTACATTTAGAGTGGTTTCTTTTATTGTTCAGACCACACTCTTAACTATAGACTACAAATTATTAGGTTTTATTATAAGGTAATGTATTTTACATTAGGAGAGTTCCACAAGTTCGATATTAGCCTGCTTCATCTGTGCAGAATCCAGTTATCATTTGTATTTTTTAATTATTCTTATATTGGAATGACCAACATAAGGTTTGGTTTTAATCAACTGACCTGAGTTGTTAGCCAAAGGGGATGGGAAGTCCGTCAGGATCTTTGGGAACAATTCAGGAAATGCTAAAGCTACAGGTGCTTGGCTCCAGGTACTCAGATTGAATGTGGGCTTTCCATAGAGAAAGCCCACATTCATATCTTCAGGTAACATAGAGTACATGTCAGATTAAATGATACTGCTTCAGCATTAGTTTCAAGGTTTTGCTTTATTGTATGTCTCGTACCATGTCTTTCGGTTGTGCTGTTCTTTTTGCATCTCGTTACAGGTGATGAAGCAGACTGAAAATTTTTCATTGTCTCCTTTCTATCTCCTCTTTCTTTCATCTTTTCTCTTTTTTTTCTTTTTCTTCTGTTTGTCCTCCTCTGTTCTATTTACATTGCAGTGTCCATATAAACCGTAAAACTCCCTGCATAATTATAATAAAGCAATTTATATGCTTGAAACAAGTGGAGCATTATGGCAATTGCCATACTGCTACAATTGTGAAAGTAAAATCTGTTGGGCTCTTTTTGGCATCAAGACAATTATTCTTATTGCCACATTGCCAGACAGGACACTGTTAAAAAAAACAAAAAACAAAAAAACAAAAAAAGGAAATGCTAAAGCTTGATCACAAACTGTTGATGTTGGAAACATTACTTTCAACAGTATGCTGAGTATATCATCAATATGGTCTGAAATGATGGCACCACTGAAGAAGCACCTGCATCAAATATGGCAGCTATGAGCTTGACAGACATTCTGCATTTGTCTGCATTGATAAACAGAGAACGGTTCTTTGGTGAGTTTAGGAAAACACAGATTTGAAGTAGTCAGAAACATTTGAAGCTGAGGGAGATTGGACTTTTTCCATTACAGCTCCAAAATATTGGAAACTTTAATGCTTTAAAGCAATGATTCCCAACTGGGGGTATGGTTATCCATAGTGGTTCATGTGTGCATTGCAAGGGGTACATTAAACTATTTGATATCTTAGGTAGTGAAATAAAATAGGGCTGGGATCTGTTTTTCTTTGTGAGGAACCATTGAAAACTTAAACAAGCTTTTATCCACGAAAGAAAGTTTTTCTTATATGACTGAGTTCACCAAAAGGAGGCAGAGGAGCAGACTGGATGTAGAGAACAGGGATCAGCTGTTTTTCACACTGAGCTATTGGACCTCATCAAAGCAGCTCAGGTGTCTTGATGAAAACAAGTAAAACTAATTAAGTCAGTCTGACTATTATATTTGTTCTATATTTTGTTCCCAATTCCTCAAGTTTAAATGTGATTAAAAGGGAGTTACTCAGAGGAGCTCCAGTTTTTAAACCTATCTGTGGTTTAAATTAAACGAAGAGGATTGAGAAATAGAGAAGGAAAGCTATCTTCATATTATTTAATTTAACCTCAAGCTGCTATATGGTTAAAAATTGGGACTGTCAACTTTTCCACCAAGGCAAAGCTAACAGACAAGCATGAGCTCAAGAGTAAAGAGCATTGACAACTAAATTAAATATATTTGATTTAATTTTAATGAGGTATTTATTTTTGTGTATTTAATCCTGCATCATTTCAGTCTATGTCCAGATTATAGAAAAACTCATTAAATCCAACTTTCTGCTCTCAGTTCCTCTTTCTTTTAAATTGATGAATTTGATTAATTAATTTGTGTTAAAATTAAAATTCTAAAAAAAAAAAAATCAGTTTTATTCCATAACTAAACTCTATCATCTACAATAGAATGTAACACAATAATAAAATAATAATAAACTGAATTAAAATAAAGTTTGTGCCAATAATGTGTTTATATACATTTTATTTAAACAACTTCCTGTGCAAACCTGATACTTTTTATTTGAAAACATTCTAACTTATATTTAAAAGCTTGCCAACCTTTTATTTGGGGATGTTTGTTGATTTTCTCAGC